AGAATAAGGTATGATGGATAAGGGCAGAAACTTTGCCATATACTATATGAGCAACACGACAGGTGTCACATGTTGAGCAGGAACTGTTTATCCTTTCATCTCCCAGAACTTGCATGACATATTTGCCACTGGACGATAGGCAAACAACAATCAATCAAAATTATTCTTCCGGGTCACCTGAGTTCACCCCGTTTTTGGTGGGGTTCCTGTGGTTCAATCTTCAATTTTCTGTGCAATGTTTTGTTATTTTTTGTTTTGTTGGATATGGTGTTGTTTGTTTTTAACTAATAATCTTTGATTTCCTCCTTAGTATCTTCTCTCTCGTTTTACAAGGCGTCGGCGTCGGATTTAACGTCCTTATTCCGTCCCAACGTGACTGTGTATTAATACATTTCACAACCTCTTTAGAATGAGTTTTACTGTCGCACTGGACAGGTCAATTGATGACCATATTTGTATACACAAGTAAAACCTTGAGCTTATTTACCGAGAGCTATCGATAGTAACCCGAATGATAAAGGTCGATAAATTCCGTTGCTCTTCGGTGGCTACTTCTAACTCCGCACGCTACTCTACTCGTAGTAAGGAAAATAGTAAACGATCATGAGTTACCTGTGAATATGAAAGAAGTCCATAAATATTATGATAGTATTGCATTATTTTTTATAGTAATCAATGGTAATAACATTCATATTTGCTGGAAATCGTATGCTACCTTAAGTTTAGGAAAAATCCTGGAAAGAAACGAAAACCGAAAAATGATTACTCTGTATATGGATAACACAGGGAATAGAAAGTTAACGATTTTGGATTCTATAGTATATTAATTTTTATATTGAATTTTCTAGTTTTTTAATACTTAATCTGTTCCCCCGTAATTCCAATTTACAATTATGTTTTAAGGCGACATAATGCCATAAAAAAGACTAATTTCCCGTGAATTTCTAGTTTCCCCAATGTGTTTAACAACCGAAAAATGATGAAATCCTGTGTAGGCCTTCATTTGCTCATAGGATGGATAAAAGTTTTGCTGTAAGGAATTTTTATAAATCTAAGTTAGAGTGAATAAAAAAAGGACGTTCGTATGGTATTTTTGACAAACTCTTGGGTTGGGTGGAGGGTAGGAAAGTCAAATTCCATTTTTGGACTTATGGTACAGGCCATCCGTGAGATACCAACCTGAGTCTTTCGGCCGGACAGACCTGAATCCACAACCTTTCATGTCTACCTAGTGTGGATACAAATATTGCCTAGGTACTTATTAATACATCATTATTATATATCATAGCTTAAATAGCTATCACTACAAACCAGTAAAAGTCTGAAATGGCCTATATCTGTACTTGACTGAACTGATTTTTACTCGACCAGTCTGAATTGGTCAAAATTTTACTCGACATTACTCGACCCCAGTCTTAACCATACTCGACTGTACTGATTTGTACTTGACCCTTTTATCTTTGCCATTGAAAATAGTCTGAACTATTGCTCGACCCGTCTAAACAGTATTAACCTATTTTCGACCTTTACTCGACCTATTTTTTCAGTCTAAACCATACTCGACCAAAGGTCTGAACAATACTCGACCAGTCTGAACCATCTTTGACCAAATAATCTCTACTTTTTTTAATTTTAACTGTTAAAATAAATTTCTTTTTAACTGACACGACAACAGCCACAATAAAAGATAGATATACATTTATATAAAAACAGATTTTTACATCCTTACATGATTCTCAGATTTATCAAATAGAGATAGTTAAATCAAATTATCTTATAGATTTAATTTTTCTTATTTAATAATTTAATTATATCAATTCTAAAGTTTTAGAGTTTTGTTAAAAAAAGATTTTCTTTTACCTAAAAACCACACCTATACTGAGGGTATAAACCTTATAAAGGTGCTTCTTGTTTGGCATGTGTTTTTTATTTTCTTTTTTAAACATAATTTTCCTAAATTCCTAAATAAAAACTACATAGGTTTCATAGTTACATAAAATTGTTATATAATTATTTTTTTAATGAGGTAACAACAGCCAACAAAATCACTGAAATTGTTTAACCTTATATTAGAAATATATCTATTATTATAATTTGTGATATATTATATATAATATATATCAAAAAGGGATAAAAAATTAAAGAAATGAATAAATTTTTTCTTCTGATTAGTGGTGGAGTATAAAGTAATACCTCCTGCTTAAGGCAAACTCATTAAAAAGATCACTCCTTGTCAGAGATTATTAAATTCTAAATAACATTCATTCAAAATTGCAACATCCTGTTAAACCTAAATCGCAAGGCCTTTTGAATTCACTAGACAAGTAATACATGAGTTTGAAAAATAGGGCTTTCTTTTTACCTGTAAAACACACATGTTCTGAGGTAATTAAACCTTATTAAAGTGCTTCTTGTATACCATGTCTTTAATTTTGACAAAAATTATTTAAATTTAATTGAAATACATTTTTACTGTAACTTTGGAACACATTTCTTTTTTTAAAAGGTTATCAAGAATTGCTATGGAAGTTTTATTATCATGATTATATTTAATTCTTGGTTTAACAAATCAAATGTGTCATTTTTTAAATTTAATAAGTTGCTTTATATACTATTTTATATGTATTTTAATAAAAAAAAATGTTCACTGCATTATTCACTAAACTCAACTGACACCATAAATCTCTACTAGGATTAAGTTAATGGTGAAAATTGTCCAGTAAGCATAAAATATGTCTGAAACATTCAAAAAAATTTGAATAACATTGAAAATATTAGTCACAATTCAGTTTTGAGATTATTTGATCAGCTTGTTTTATTTTTATTTTAAAGGTGATATATATATATATATGAGTAAATGTTGATGAATATGGTGTTGAAGTTATATTATGTTTATTGTGAACTTTTGGTTTCAATGCGATTTTGAATACATTTTTAATTTCAAATTGTTGTTCAAATTTCTAGCCAGGGGAAATAGCTGTTGTTAAAAACAGTTCCTAAATTGACGAAATACAATAGTATATACAAAAAATAGGTCTAGGTTGGTTAAGACTTGGTCGAGTATGGTTCAGACTATGTCTAATATGGTTCAGACTAGGTCGAGTATGGTTCAGACTAGGTCGAGCATGGTTCAGACGCGTATAAAATGGTTAAGTACTGGTCGAGTAAAGGTCGAGTACAAGTTCAGACATTTAAGTATGTTTCAGACTACAGTCGAGTATTATCAATTAAATTTCAGACCAATTCAGACTGGTGGAGTAAAAATCAGTACAGTCAAGTACAGCTATAGGCCATTTCAGACTTTTACTGGTTTGTAATGTATGTCAATTTGATAATATTAGGTCTATGGGAGGGGGTTCAATTTTTCCATGGTAGGAGGTTCAAAATACCATGGCTAAGTAAAAATGTTTCAACATCTTTTCTAACATGTTTTATTTATACCAAATACTTATTAAAGCATTATTACTATAAAAAGTAGTTTAAATAGCTATGACAATTTGAAAATCTGAGGTCTATAGGAGGGAGGGTCAATTTTCCATGGTACCATTGCTGAGTAAAAATCTTTTCTAACATGTTTTATTCCTACCAAATGCTCATTAATGCATTATCACTATATAATATTGACTATATATCTTTTGTTCCTCTATCAATAAGCCTTCAAATGAATAATAAGTCATCTCTGTATTTAGGGGATGAAGGGTCGCAGCAGTCCCTTCAAAAATTCATTTTATGCTATTTGTTTTTAATTTTTCACGCATATTGTGGTATTTAGGTCCACTGTAAACCCTCAAACTAAACATTTTTAACGAGGATAAATGTGGAGTTTGAAATGTTATTTTACCGATGTTTTATGTGGCTACATAAATATAGAATGGTGGAGGCGTAAATAGAATAATTTGTCACTGTATGCTGACATTGGATTTATTACTCTCTAATGGTGATTTTACTCATTTTAGTGTTTTTGCTTATTATCATGAAAACTATTATAGATAGATAGATAGATAGATAGATAGATAGATAGATAGATAGATAGATAGATAGATAGACACTTTAAATAACAAAAATGATCAACAAGATTTACAAATAAGTCAACATGGCCGAAATCATCAGTCGACTCCTTATTGGAGTAATTGATCTCTAATGACAATTTTTACCAATTTTGTTGGTTTTTGCCGATGATCTTGAAAATTATATAGATAGATAGACACTTTAAAAAGCAAAAATGATCAGCAAGACAAGATCTAAAAATAAATAAAATTTAGCCGAATATTAGTAGGCTCTTATAGGATGATTAACCATAAACGAAGATTTGTTTACCCTTGTTTTGTGTTTTCGGCAAAAACTAAAGTTGATAGAAAGAAACTGTCAACCGAACAAAATTATCAGCAATACAAGATCAACAAAAAGAGATTTTGTCATAAATTCTATTCCTCTCCACAAAGTCCATTGTTGAAGATGCAGATAGACCTAGGTGAGCGACACAGGCTCTTAAGAGTTTCTAATTCTTATTATTGACTTTACTTTAATAAAAGTGTAACTGTATAAAAAAAATGTATGTCAAAGGAATAAAAAAAGTACAAAAATTAGTAAATGCCTGTTGTTGGACTTCAACAGCCATATCCAGAAAAAGTTCCATGGCTAAAAAAACTTCTGCCCCCTTCCTGCCCACTGCCTCTCCCCTTGAAGCCCTGAAACTGCTATTGATAATGATGTGATATTTGTAGTTTCGATGATTGATCGTAAGATTTTCGATGCTTAACGCCACTTTCAGCTCCATTGGCCATTTCGTGGCGGCCAGTTTTTATTGGTGGAGGAAGCATGATTGTCCCGAGAGGACCACAGGAACTTTTTTTTCATACAGTTAAAATTTAATGGAGGACATTTTGTTATGATTTATTTAGATAAGAGCTTAAGGGACAAGATGTGTTTTCGTGTTTAAAATAGAAAATTATATAATCAATTTAATGTTTTGTTTGATTTGAAAACAGGTATTGGTTAGAACGGGTGGAAAGAATAATCCTGTTGTTATAGAAACGACTTTAAACAATGTGGTGCAAAAACAAGTTCAGAAGATTCTTCATGGTTTAAAAGGTAACCTTAAGTGACATGAAATACATATAGCTGCAGAAAATGAATATTCATCCTACGAAAGGCAGAGTAAAAAAGTACTATGAAGGGAGCAGCCAAATATGTTCAACAGAAAACTTAAGACTGATCAAGCACCCATCCCAAAAAAATCAAAGAAAAGCCTTTTCTACTTTATTAGTGGCACTCTTCATTTCACTGATGATAAGTAAAAATCTAATAAGTAGCTATTTGTGATTTATTATTAATAAAAAAGAATTCACCATATTAGCCATATCCCTCTTCATTAAATACATTTCCAGTAATGGTCAACCAAGCAATGATGGGATCTATCACAATTTGAAACAGATGTAACAAGTAATGATCATTGGTTCTGTAGCTTTCTTTCAAGCGTAAACACTCTATCTGGAGACATGGTTTGTCAATCATACAGATCAGGTGATTAAACTTTTATATTTATTGTAGTATTAACATTTACATGTTTTACCTCCTGTTGCTTTGCATAACTTCAGTTATGAAGTTTAAAAAGAATATCAGTAATAGACTCTCCTTATATGAAAATGGAACAAATAATAACTTGCAGGGGCATCAATTATGTCTTTAAGACATAACCATTTCAAGTAGTACTTCTACATATCTGTTTATTAAATCCATAGTTTGTTTGCTGTTTTGGGGACAAAGCCACTTAGCCTGAGTCTATATAGCTGTTTTGAATGACTTGCAGTTTGTACATGCTGTGAAAACAAATTTTTAAAACAAATCTTATGAGATATCTGACTGGCTCAAAAAGATTTCTTATCCCTTTTAAGGATGACGATCAGTCTTTGCTATCCAGAATGAAGAACAATTGACATTAACGATATACAAAGGAGATGAAGGATTATTGCCTATTAGATAACTGTTCACAAAATATTACTGAACTGTTGATTAGATCTATAAAAGTAAGAGACATTTTAACCACGTTTTAATATTTGAAAAGATAGCTTTCAACAATTGCTTTGAAATAAACATTTGCAAATCAAAATTACTTAATATTGGAATAATTTACATGAATGAAAATTCAAGTCGGACACTGAAGATGTTTTGGTTTAATCTTTCCTTAGATGTATGTCAATGCTTCAAAAAAGGTATCATTCTAAAATGTTAAAATTTGACTTAGGACCATTCTCATGGCCTTTTTACTTTTTCGTTTTTTGCAATTGCGATGTCAGTGAGTTTGAATGTCCCTTTGGTATCTTTCTCCTCTCTTTTACGATAGTTTGGTCAATTTTGGTTAAATAGCTCTTTTTAAAACTTCCTGTCTTTCAAATGTTGGGCGTGAGCTTTCCCGATGAAGGTAATACAGAAAAGCACTTCAGTTGCTTAAAATTTATAAAATGTTATTTTCATTTAAAGTTAAGCTTAATTTACATGAAATCCAGGAAAACAAAACGATTAAAGATTAAGAGGTTCAGTTTTATTGTTATTTCCTAACTGTATTGACACCTCATTCAATGTTCCATTTTAAATATCCTACTTTTAACATCTTATTAACTCGTTTTCTGAAAATCAACTGTTCATAAAATGATAAGATTATTCAAACAAAGGTTTTTTTCTAACCTCAGGCATAGATGGCCTTAGCCCGATTGTGAATAACGTTTTGATTTTTTCTTTTTTTTTGTGCTCTTCGTCAGTCATTGATATGACCTTCTAACTGTTTTTTTGTGCTCTTCGTCAGTCATTGATATGACCATCTAACTGTTTTTTTGTGCTCTTCGTCAGTCATTGATATGACCTTCTAACTGTTTTTATGCCCCAGCAACTAAAAGTTGGGGGCATATTGTTTTACCCCTGTCAGTCCGTCCGTCCGTCCTTCCGCCCGTCCGTCCGTCCGTCCGTCCGTCTGTCCGTCCCATTATGGGTATATAGTTATTCCGCATAACTCCTCCTACAGTTTGAATCCTAGGAAGTGTTCACTTTGCTGTCTGTTTGTACATATATTGTAGGTGTTCATGTGGTCAGGGTTAATTTTTAGCTCACCTGGCCCGAAGGGCCAAGTGAGCTTTTCTCATCACTTGGCGTCCGTCGTCCGTCGTCGTCCGGCGTCGTCCGTCGTCGGCGTTAACTTTTTACATTTTGAACTTCTTCTAGAGAACCACTGAATGGAATGAAACCAAACATGGCATGAATGTTCCTTATGAGGTGCTGACCAAGTGTTGTTACTTTGTAGCCGATCCATCATCTAAGATGGCCGCCAGCGGGGGACTTAGTTTAACATAGGACCCTATGGGAAATGCATACAAATGACTTCTTTTAGAGAACCACTGAATGGAATGAAACCAAACATGGCATGAATGTTCCTTATGAGGTGCTCACTAAGTGTTGTTACTTTGTAGCCGATCCATCATCTAAGATGGACGCCAGCGGGGGACTTAGTTTAACATAGGACCCTATGGGAAATGCATACAAATGACTTCTTTTAGAGAACCACTGAATGGAATAAAACCAAACATGGCATGAATGTTCCTTATGAGGTGCTGACCATGTGTTGTTACTTTGTAGCCGATCCATCATCCAAGATGGCCGCCATCAGGGAACTTAGTTTAACATAGGACCCTATGGGAAATACATACAAATGTCTTCTTTTAGAGAACCACTGAATGGAATGAAACCAAACATGGCATGAATGTTCCTTATGAGGTGCTGACCAAGTGTTGTTACTTTGTAGCCGATCCAGCATCCAAGATGGCCGCCAGCGGGGGACTTAGTTTAACATAGGACCCTACGGGAAATACATAAAAATGTCTTCTTTTAGAGAACCACTGAATGGAATGGAACCAAACATGGCATGAATGTTCCTTATGAGATGCTGACCAAGTGTTGTTACTTTGCAGTCGGTCCATCATCCAAGATGGCCGCCAGCGGGGGACTTAGTTTAACATAGGACCCTATGGGAAATACATACAAATGTCTTCTTTTAGAGAACCACTGAATGGAATGAAACCAAACATGGCCTGAATGTTCCTTATGAGGTTCTGACCAAGTGTTGTTACTTTGTAGCCGATCCATCATCCAAGATGGCCGCCAGCAGGGGACTTAGTTTAACAAAGGACCTATGGGAAATACATACAAATGTCTTCTTTTAGAGAACCACTGAATGGAATGAAACCAAACATGGCATGAATCTTCCTTATGAGATGCTGACGAAGTGTTGTTACTTTGTAGCCGATCCATTATCCAAGATGGCCGCCAGCGGGGGACTTAGTTTTACATAGGACCCTTTGGGAAATACATAAAAATGTGTTCTTTTAGAGAACCAATAAATGGAATGGAACCAAACATGGCATGAATGTTCCTTATGAGATGTTGACCAAGTGTTGTTACTTTGCAGCCGATCCATCATCCAAGATGGCCGACAGCGGGGGACTTAGTTTAACATAGGACCCTATGGGAAATACATACAATTGTCTTCTTTTAGAGAACCACTGAATGGAATTGAACCAAACATGGCATGAATGTTCCTTATGAGTTGCTGACCAAGTGTTGTTACTTTGCAGTCGATCCATCATCCAAGATGGCCGCTAGGGGGAGGGGCTTAGTTTAACATAGGACCCTATGGGAAATACATACAAATGTCTTCTTTTAGAGTACCATTGAATGGAATGAAACCAGACATGGGATGAATGTTCCTTATGAAGTGCTGACCAAGTGTTGCTACTTTGTTGCCGATTTACTGTTCAAGATGGCCACCAGGATATTTTATTAAATAACGGGACCAATATTAATCAAAATTTGGCCTCAATCATTATTTGGGTATCTGTTCTGATTTTTATCTATCTTTACATGATTTCTAAAACCAAAGTAGAGTCAGGTGAGCGACACAGGCTCTTGGGAGCCTCTAGTGTATTAATATTTGCTCTTTTGGGAGATAGTTGAACTTTGTCATTTTTGGGAGTATTTACTTGCATTAATATAAGTATTAAACCTTGTGATTAAAAGTTAGTTTTAAATTTATCTTGAAAATAGATGTCATACAATGCTGCTTAAGGAGCTACCATTTGATCTGAACCTTTGACCTATGTGCTCCCATGCTCAACTTTGTGTATTTTAAAATAACACTTTGCATCTGCGGGGGCATCAATTGTGTCTCCCAGACACAATAATATCTCAAAGAAAGTCATACATTGACTTTGTTATAATACAGTTACTTCAGAGTGGAGTGCGGGGGCATCGCTTTGTCTAGTTTAATTGAACGTTACAGATTAGTCTGTAGTAGACTAAACATGTGTTTGGCATGATAATTTCTAATAATATTTTTTTTAATGAAAATTTCTTTATGAAATAGACCATACATTCAAATTATTTCTAACTTCAGAAAAACAAGAAAATTTAGATCTTAAAGAGAGAATAAGGAAAATGGAAACTGAGCAGGAAGAGGTTATTCCAAGGAATATTAGAGGTATATTATAAGTTCATGTATTTTGACTTTTTTAACAAAAATATAAACTGCACCCTTGCAATCTCTGGACAGACTTTGCAGCTTTGTATGTTTAAATTTTGGTCAGTCCAAAGGCTTTTACCTTTAAGATAATTTGTCAGTTGTGGAAATAAGGTGATAATTGTCTTGCTTAAAGCAATTATAAGACACACGTATGATATTACAGGGACAACTGAATACACAAGTTAATCAACGTTAAATTGTGTTATCTTCGTTCAGGGTATTCAATCCATATCTTGTTGAATTTGACCTGTCTTGAGTTGAAATTGTGCTTACCTTCTCTTTCTCTTGTTTTTTTTTTAAAGGGAGGGGGAGAGAATTGTACTTCTTGTAGTCAGGTGCACTTTGGATAAACAGTATACAAGTGATGAATAATAAGTTTATATGATCATTATTCCCTAGTTAAGTTCAAGAAACATATATATCTCCCAATATTCTGACACCCTATTGGTCCAACATCCAATTAGTCCAACACCCAAATAAACCGACAAAGGTAGTATATTTTCGTAATAAAAATAAATTACGTCGCACAATTGATGTTGACGTGATATATATGATCTTCTCTTTCTTCTTAGCGTGATATTATCGTTTCGTTGATATACTTTGAACGACAAACGACAAATTAATTTTACTCGCGTAGTGGTATTTACCATATGTGGATTCTTTAAAATTCTAAAGATCTGGACAATTTTAAATCTCGGTCTATTTCTGAAATTAATTCTAACATAACTTTTGATTTTTTAACCCTGTATACCAACATTCCCCATGTGAAATTATAAAATTGTTTTGAATAAACATTGAATGACAAACTTTTTTCTTATGTGACGTTTACATTTTCTGACGTCAGACACGCGAAGCAATGAATGTGGTTTTTAATTTGATAGATGCTTTTGTGCTTTTTTTGTAAATAATTGTTTGTTTTGATATTGTAACACAGTGATGACTGCTGTACCCATATTTTGACTATTTTATTTATAATGTCTGTTTTGTTCACGCATCGTTGTAAATATAACGGAATTTGATAAGACTGTCGTACAAGTGAGAGGTTTAGCGCTATAAAACCAGGTTCAATCCACCATTTTCTACATTTGAAAATGCCTGTACCAAGTCAGGAATATGACAGTTGTTGTCCATTCGTTTGATGTGTTTTGTCATTTGATTTTGCCATGTGATTAGGGACTTTCCGATTGAATTTTCCTCGGAGTTCAGTATTTTTGTGATTTTACTTTTTATACTATCTATCTGGTTTCAGAGAAGCAAAACGAACCTAACACATATTTAATGCAACCAAAAACATTCCAACATATTGATTTACAAATAAAAGGTGTGGTCTATGGGATAAAAGCAGTCCACTCAAAAGTAAAATTTGAGGGCTAATCCTCAAAAACTACGGTCTAAAACGGTCAAAACTGATACAATATTATTTTATCAGGAAAGGAAACTAGTTTTATCTAAGCATTTTGGTTTCTTTTCGTCTTCAATGAAATGAACTTATATGATGAAGACATAATCTTTCAATAAGTTTAATTGAAGTCTGGAGCTGGCATGTCAGTTAACTGCTAGTAGTCTGTTGTTATTTATGTATTATTGTCATTTTGTTTATTTTCTTTGGTTACATCTTCTGACATCAGACTCGGACTTCCCTTGAACTGAATTTTAATGTGCGTATTGTTATGCGTTTACTTTTCTACATTGGCTAGAGGTATAGGGGGAGGGTTGAGATCTCATAAACATGTTTAACCCCGCCGCATTTTTGCGCCTGTCCCAAGTCAGGAGCCTCTAGCCTTTGTTAGTCTTGTATTATTTTTAATTTTAGTTTCTTGTGTACAATTTGGAGTTTAGTATGGCGTTCATTATCACTGAACTAGTATATATATTTGTTTAGGGGCCAGCTGAAGGACGCCTCCGGGTGCGGGAATTTGTCGCTGCATTGAAGACCTGTTGGTGGCCTTCTGCTGTTGTCTGTTCTGTGGTCGGGTTGTTGTCTCTTTGACACATTCCCCATTTCCATTCTCAATTTTATTATATAGAAAATTAAAATCTCAAATGGCTTATTTATTATTATAAAAAATTGGTGACATAGTAAAAAGCTAAGTTATAATATCGATAGTTAAATTGTACAATAGATTATTATTGGTTTCAAATAAATATTTTATTAAAAGGTTTAAACTCTGTAAAAATGGATTACATTTACTATCAGATTGGACTTGTAAAGTTTATTCATGAAACATTAGCCACTGGAAATTTAGCAAACAAATATCTATTAATCATGGTAGAATGGCTGGTAGTTATAGCAGCGATTTAGATATGTAATTGGTGTTCTGTTATTTTTTCTTTATAAATATGTGTATAGTTTTTTTGCCACATGCATTTGTTAAATTGTTTTATTTATTTTTTTAATAGTCAAGGTTTTACATCACCCTGTCAGCACCACCAGACTAAGTTGTCACAGGGTTTTAAGAAAAAATAACAACAAAAGACTATTGTTTTACCAAGATATGAAAAAAAATATATATAAATCATTTGAAAATCTCTTTTTGTTTCTCTGATTCTTTCCTTATCTCTCTGTCATGGGTGCCACATGTAGTGCAAGATCTGCTTACCCTTCCGGAGCACCTGAGATCACACCGAGTTTTTGGTGGGGTTCGTGTTGCTCAGTCTTAAGTTTTCTATGTTGTGTTTTGTGTACTGTTGTTTGTCTGTGTGTCTGTTGGTCTTTTTCGTTTTTTAGCCATGGCGTTGTCAGTTTATTTTCTACTTATAAGTTTAAATGTCCCTATGGTATCTTCGCCTCTCTTTCACTCTCTGTCTCTCTCTTTTTTTACAATCTCTTTACACATAAATATCTATAATTCATTAAATAGAAGGGAAAAAAGCCGATTTGCATGTGCTGTGTATATATTGCATCTTATTTGCTCTTTTTTCATGAATAAGTCAAAAAGATATACACTAATATAATATGGTTGTAAGTCTACCATTCAGGATAAATAATTAGCAGGGGGGGGGGGGGGGGGGGCAATGTTTTTCAAGTGCTAAAACTCTGTTGTATTTTCTTGCTGTATACAGTTCTAAATTTTAAATGTTTTTCAGTCTATTTTTCAAATTAAGCATTATAAAGCTTTTTTCTAGCTTTCATTTGTATATGTATTTTGTGACAAAAATAACAAGAAAACTCAAAAATAAGCTTTCTTCTACAAAACATAGAGAAAGTTCTTTTTGTTGAATTCAATGTATACAAAGAAATTTTTCAAATAAGCACAGAACAAATTTTAAAAATTTGATGTCACTTGACAATCATAAAATAAATGTCTAATAGTTTCATCTTTTCCTCTACAAAAAGAACAAAACTTTTTTAATTTTAAATAAAAATGTATTTGTAGGAATAATTCTATGTAAAAATTTATATTGGAAATTATACAAATATGTTTCTCTGCAACATATCTGAAGTATACAAAAAGATTTTAGCCAGTCTTCAATATTAGTATGCAGCCCATTCTCCCATTTTAAAATTTTTACAACTGGAGAATGTGCATGTTTTACAATAAGATTATTATATTTGAATTTAATATTTTTGCTGCTAGTAATTTGCTCCAAAACATATCATGTGGTGTAAAATTATCTAAACTAGTATCACTGTTTTCCCTAATACACTGTTTCATCTCCATAGAGATATTTGATATCAAACTGTAATAGCGCATAAAATTATTTGTCTGAACTTTTTGTTTAATCTGATCAGATGTGAAAAAGTCTCTCCTTTGATAGTCAACAATGTGACAGAGATTTTCCACACCAGCAACTCCTCATCTATTATATAATGGTAATTTATAATAGATGGGGAATTGCTGGTGTTAAAATCTTCTGTTTGTACAACATTCAAGATATCAAGAGAGAGGCATTCCTTGACCTCAGTTTTAACATGTGTTTTAGATGAGTGTAAAGCTTGAAAGACGTCCTTCCAAAAAAATTGCTGAGTGTATTACTTATCTCCAATAGTTTGCAGTTTTGTAAAGAAAAAGATCTTGCACCTCCAAATGTATTCAATATCATTTTAAGAATTTAAGAATATTTTGCCAGTCCCCATTCAAATTTGCAAAAAATCTCCTCACCCAACCAGTTCTAAGATTTTTTGGGTTTTTTTATCCCATAAAAAGTTAATTGATTTCATTAAACATGGATTGACATAAATTATGTAAATAGGAAAGCATATGAATTAATTTTGGAAGTGCAAGAGTCTTAGTAAGTGTTATCTTCCCAAGCAGTGTTAGCTTCGTATGCTGCCAACTTTTCAGCACTTTTGAAATATCAATGATTTTTTCTCTGAAATTCAAACTGAGCACACAATCTGAATCTAAGGAGAAATTTAATCCTAAAACCTTAAAGTTTAAACAGGACCAGTTTAGATTTTTTTCAGGACACAAATCAGGTCAGAATAATTTTTACTTCCAATCCACACAACTTTTGTTTTAGTTGTATTTATCTTTAATCCTGAGACTTTATGGAATTTTTCAGAATAAGAAAGGGTCTCTTTGAAAGAATCTTCACTTCCATGAATTGTAAGAAACGTGTCATCTGCATACTGGCTAATAAGTGGCTCATTCCCATTTATATTCACCCCTTTTATATTTTTATTCCGTTTTAGCTGTATAGCAAATAATTCCACCACAATGGTAAACAAATAGGGAGACAATGTGTTCCCTTGGCGATAGCCTCCTTCAAAAATTGGGACATATTACCATTATTAAAGACACAGCTCTTAGCATCTGCATATAGCACTTCAAACCATTTACAAATTGATGGACCAAAATTAAAACAAGTCAAAACCTGCTTTAAAAAATCCCATTTTATAGAATCAAAGGTTTTTTTCAAAATCTACTAGGATAAACAATCCTTCTATATAATTTTTTCTAGATAGTGCATTAAATCATATAGACGTCTAGTGTTCTCTCCTATAAATCTCCCTT